TCGCTTCTCTGCGCTTTGCTTAGCTTCGCTTTGCTTTGCTTCACTTCGCTTCGCTTCGCTTCGCTTTGCTTAGCTTCGCTTCGCTTCCCTTAGCTTCGCTTCGCTTCCCTTAGCTTCGCTTAGCTTTGCTTAGCTTCGCTTCGCTTCGCATAGCTGCGCTTAGCTTTGCTTTGCTTCGCTTAGCTTCGCTTCTCTTCGATTCGCTTCTCTTTGCTTCTCTTTGCTTCGCTTTGCCTTGCTTCGCTTAGCTTCGCTTAGATTCGCTTTGCTTCGCTTCCCTTACCTTCGCTTCACTTCGCTTAGCTTTGCTTAGCTTTGCTTCGCTTCTCTTCGCTTCGCTTCGCTTCGCTTCGCTTCCCTTAGCTTTGCTTAGCTTCGCCTTGCTTCGCTTAGCTTCGCTTCACTTCGCTTTCCTTCTCTTAGCTTCGCTTAGCTCCGCTTCGCTTCGCTTTGCTTCGCTTAGCTTCACTTCGCTTCGCTTAGCTTCGCTTCTTTTAGCTTCACTTCGCTTCGCTTCTCTTCGCTTAGCTTTGCTTCGCTTCGCTTCGCTTCGCTTAGCTTCGCTTCGCTTCCCTTAGATTCGCTTCGCTTCTTTTAGCTTCGCTTCGCTTCGCTTAGCTTCACTTCGCTTTGCATAACTGCACTTAGCTTTGCTTTGCTTCTCTTAGATTCGCTTCTCTTCGCTTCACTTCGCTTTGCTTTTCTTTGCTTCGCTTCGCTTAGCTTCGCTTCGCTTCTCTTCGCTTCACTTCGCTTCGCTTCGCTTCGCTTAGCTTCGCTTTGCTTCGCTTAGCTTCGCTTTGCTTCGCTTTGCTTCGCTTAGCTTCGCTTCGCTTCGCTTTGCTTCGCTTAGCTTTGCTTCGCTTTCCTTAGCTTCGCTTCGCTTCGCTTTGCTTCGCCTAGCTTTGCTTAGCTTCGCTTCGCTTCCCCTAGCTTCGCTTAACTTCGATTAGCTTCGCTTACCTTCTTGTTCGCTTCGCTTAGCTTCGCTTCGCTTTGCTTCGATTAGCTTCACCTCGCTTCGATTAGCTTTGCTTCGCTTCGTTTAGCTTCGTGTTCGCTTCGCTAAGCTTCTCTTCACTTCGCTTCGCTTTGCTTAGCTTCTCTTCACTTCGCTTTGCTTTGCTTAGCTTCCCTTAGCTTCATGTTCGCTTCGCTTAGCTTCGCTTCGATTAGCTTCGTGTTCGCTTCGCTTAGCTTCGTGTTCGCTTCGCTTAGCCTCGCTTTGCTTAGCTTAGCTTCGCCTTGCTTAGCTTCGCTTCGCTTCGCTTAGCTTCGCCTTGCTTAGCTTCGCTTAGCTTCGCTTCGCTTCGCTTAGCTTCGCTTAGCTTCGCTTCGCTTCGCTTAGCTTCTCTTAGCTTCACTTTGCTTTGCTTAGCTTCGCCTAGCTTTGCTTTGCTTCGCTTAGCTTCGCTTAGCTTCGCTTCTCTTCGCTTAGCTTTGCTTCGCTTCTCTTCGCTTCGCTTCCCTTAGCTTCGCTTCGCTTCCGTTAGCTTTGCTCAGCTTTGCTTTGCTTCACTTAACTTCGCATCGTTTCGCTTTGCTTCTAATAGCTTCGCTTAGCTTCGCTTCACTTCCCATAGCTTCGCTTTGCTTCTCTTCGCTTCTCTTCACTTCGTTTCGCTTAGCTTCGCTTAGCTTCGCTTCGCTTCGCTTCGCTTCGCTTCGCTTCGCTTTGCTTCACTTAGCTTCACTTCGCTTAGCTTCGCTTCGCTTCGCTTCGCTTCGCTTTCCTTCTCTTAGCTTCGCTTAGCTCTGCTTTGCTTCGCTTTGCTTCGCTTAGCTTCACTTCGCTTCGCTTAGCTTCGCTTCTTTTAGCTTCACTTCGCTTCGCTTCTCTTCGCTTAGCTTTGCTTCGCTTCGCTTCGCTTCGCTTCGCTTCGCTTAGCTTCGCTTCGCTTCCCTTAGATTCGCTTCGCTTCTTTTAGCTTCGCTTCGCTTCGCTTAGCTTCACTTCGCTTTGCATAACTGCGCTTAGCTTTGCTTTGCTTCTCTTAGATTCGCTTCTCTTCGCTTCACTTCGCTTTGCTTTTCTTTGCTTCGCTTCGCTTAGCTTCGCTTCGCTTCTCTTCGCTTCACTTCGCTTCGCTTCGCTTCGCTTAGCTTCGCTTTGCTTCGCTTAGCTTCGCTTTGCTTCGCTTAGCTTCGCTTCGCTTCGCTTTGCTTCGCTTAGCTTTGCTTCGCTTTCCTTAGCTTCGCTTCGCTTCGCTTTGCTTCGCCTAGCTTTGCTTAGCTTCGCTTCGCTTCCCCTAGCTTCGCTTAGCTTCGATTAGCTTCGCTTACCTTCTTGTTCGCTTCGCTTAGCTTCGCTTCGCTTTGCTTCGATTAGCTTCACCTCGCTTCGATTAGCTTTGCTTCGCTTCGTTTAGCTTCGTGTTCGCTTCGCTAAGCTTCTCTTCACTTCGCTTCGCTTTGCTTAGCTTCTCTTCACTTCGCTTTGCTTTGCTTAGCTTCCCTTAGCTTCATGTTCGCTTCGCTTAGCTTCGCTTCGATTAGCTTCGTGTTCGCTTCGCTTAGCTTCATGTTCGCTTCGCTTAGCCTCGCTTTGCTTAGCTTAGCTTCGCCTTGCTTAGCTTCGCTTCGCTTCGCTTAGCTTCACTTCGCTTCGCTTAGCTTCGCTTAGCTTCGCTTTGCTTCGCTTCGCTTCGCTTCGCTTCGCTTAGCTTCTCTTAGCTTCACTTTGCTTTGCTTAGCTTCGCCTAGCTTTGCTTTGCTTCGCTTAGCTTCGCTTAGCTTCGCTTCTCTTCGCTTAGCTTTGCTTCGCTTCTCTTCGCTTCGCTTCCCTTAGCTTCGCTTCGCTTCCGTTAGCTTTGCTCAGCTTTGCTTTGCTTCACTTAACTTCGCATCGTTTCGCTTTGCTTCTAATAGCTTCGCTTAGCTTCGCTTCACTTCCCATAGCTTCGCTTTGCTTCTCTTCGCTTCTCTTCACTTCGTTTCGCTTAGCTTCGCTTAGCTTCGCTTCGCTTCGCTTCGCTTCGCTTCGCTTCGCTTAGCTTCACTTCGCTTCGCTTCGCATATCTTCGCTTCGCTTCTCTTAGCTTCGCTTTGCTTCTTTTCGCTTCTCTTCCCTTTGCTTTGCTAATCTTCGCTTCGCTTCGCTTAGCCTTGCTTTGCTTCCCTGAGCTTCGCTTCGCTTCGCTTAGCCTCGCTTCGCTTTGCTTGGCTTAGCTTTGTTTCGCTTCGCTTAGCTTTGCTTCGCTTCGCTTCTCTTCTCTTCTCTTCGCTTCTCTTCACTCTCTTCCCTTAGCTTCGCTTAGCTTCGCTTCGCTTCGCTTCCCTTAGCTTCACTTTGCTTAGCTTCGCTTCGCTTCGCTTCCCTTAGCTTCCCTTAGCTTCGCTTCGCTTCGCTTCGCTTCGCTTCGCTTCGATTAGCTTCGCTTAGCTTCCTGTTTGCTTCGCTTCGCTTAGCTTCTTGTTCGCTTCGCTTAGCCTTGCTTCGCTTAGCTTCGCTAAGCTTCGCTTCGCTTCGCTTACCTTCGCTTTGCTTTGCTTACCTTCCCTTCGCTTCGCTTAGCTTCGATTCGCTTCACTTAGCTTCGCTTAGCTTCGCGTAGCTTCTCTTAGATTCGCTTCACTTCTCTTAGCTTCGCATAGCTTCGCTTACCTTTGCTTCGCTTCTCTTCGCTTCGCTTCCCTTAGCTTCGCTTAGCTTCGCCTTGCTTCGCTTAGCTTCGCTTCGCTTCTCTTCGCTTCGCTTAGCTTCTCTTCACTTCGCTTCGCTTCGCTTCGCTTAGCTTCCCTTAGCTTCATGTTCGCTTCGCTTGGCTTGGATAAGCTTCGCTTAGCTTCGTGTTCGCTTCGCTATGCATGGCTGCACTTAGCTTCGTTTTGCTTCTCTTACCTTCGCTTCTCTTCGCTACGCTTGTCTTTGCTTTTCTTCGCTTCGCTTCACTTAGCTTCGCTTAGCTTCGCTTCGCTTCGCTTAGCTTCGCTTAGCTTCGCTCCGCTTAGCTTCGCTTAGCTTACCTTTGCTTAGCTTCGCTTCGCTTCGCTTAGCTCGTTTAGCTTCACTTTAGCCTTGCTTAGCTTTGCTTAGCTTCGCTTCACTTCGCTTCCCTTAGCTTCAGTTCGCTTCCCATAGCTTCACTTCGCTTCGCTTAGCTTTGCTTAGCTTCGCATAGCTGCGCTTTGCTTCGTTTTGCTTCTCTTAGCTTTGGTTCTCTTCGCTACGCTTCTCTTTGCTTCTCCTCGCTTCGCTTTGCTTAGCTTCGCTTAGCTTCGCTTCGCTTCGCTTCGCTTCGCTTAGCTTCGCTTAGCTTCGCTTCGCTTCGCTTAGCTTCGCTTAGCTTCGCTTAGCTTCGCTTAGCTTCGCTTAGCTTCGCTTAGCTTCCCTTAGCTTTGCTTAGCTTCGCTTAGCTACGCTTAGCTTCGCTTAGCTTCGCTTAGCTTCGCTTAGTTTTGCTTAGCTTCGCTTCGCTTCGCTTAGCTTCCCTTCGCTCCGCTTAGCTTCGCTTCGCTTAGCTTCCCTTAACTTTCCTTTGCTTCGCTTAGCTTCGCTTTGCTTAGCTTCGCTTCGCTTCGCTTAGCTTCGCTTCGCTTCGCTTCGCTTCTCTTCGCTTAGCTTCGCTTCGCTTTGCTTAGCTTCGCTTAGATTCGCTTAGCTTCGCTTCGATTCGCTTAGCTTTGCTTCGCTTCGCTTAGCTTTGCTTCGCTTCGCTTTCCTTCGCTTCCGTTCGCTTCTCTTAGCTTCGCTTAGCCTTGCTTCGCTTCGCATAGCTGCGCTTGGCTTAGCTTCGCTTCGCTTCCCTTAGCTACAGTTCGCTTCCCTTAGCTTCACTTCGCTTCGCTAAGCTTAGCTAAGCTTTGCTTCGTTTCACTTTGCTTTGCTTAGCTTCGCCTAGCTTCATTTCGCTTTGCTTAGCTTCGCTTAGCTTCGCTTCGCTTCCCTTAGCTTTGGTTCGCTTCCCTTAGCTTCGCTTCGCTTTGCTTAGCTTCGCTTCGGTTCGCATACCTTCGCTTACCTTCGCTTTGCTTCTCTTAGCTTCGCTTCTTTTCGCTTCGCTCTCTATGCTTCTCTTCGCTTCGCTCTCTATGCCTTCGCATCGCTTCGCTTAGCTTCGCTTCTCTTGCTTTCGCTTCGCTTTCGCTTAGCTTCCTTGCTTAGCTTTGCTTTCTTTCTTACTTCGCTTTTTTTTTTTTTTTTTTTTTTTTTTTTTCTTAGCTTCGCTTGCTTTTGCTTAGCTTCCTTCTTCGCTTCGCTTTGCTTAGCTTCCCTTAACTATGCATTTCTTCGCTTAGCTTCGCTTTGCTTAGCTTCGCTTAGCTTCATGTTCGCTTCGCTTAGCTTCCTGTTTGCTTTGCTTAGCCTCGCTTCGCTTAGCTTTGCTTCGCTTCGCTTAGCTTCGCTTAGCTTCGCTTTGCCTCGCTTAGCTTCGCTTAGCTTCTCTTAGCTTTGCTTCGCTTTGCTTAGCTTCGCCTAGCTTCGCTTAGCTTTCCTTCGCTTTGCCTTGCTAAGCTTTGCTTCGTTTCACTTTGCTTCACTTAGCTTTGCTTAGCTTTGCTTAGCTTCGCTTGGTTTCGCTTCGCTTCGCTTAGATTCCCTTAGCTTCGCTTCGCTATGCTTAGCTTCGCTTCGCTTCGCCTAGCTTCGCTTTGCTTCGCTTCCCTTAGCATCGCTTCGCTTCCCTTAGCTTCGCTTCGCTTCACTTAGCTTTGCTTTGCTTTTCTTAGCTTCGCTTCTTTTCGCTTCGCTTCTCTATGCTTCGCTTCGCTTCGCTTCGCTAAGCTTCCCTTCACTTCGCTTTGCTTCGCTTCGCTTCGCTTCTCTTCGCTTCGCTTAGCTTCGCTTCGCTTAGCTTTT